AATTGTGCAACTCATATGAGTTAAAACTACTAAACACTTGGAAGTTTGTTAAGATCTCACACAAAACCCTGGTGAGTTTCCCTTGATGCCTTCAAGTTTAATATGCAGTTGATCTGCGTTTATGGTTCACAATTATCAAATCTTTCTCAAGATGAAACCAACAGAGCATGTTCAACTAAAAAAACAAGTTGATGAATTCTTATTAAAAGGTTTCATGAGCAAGAGTTTAAGCCCTGATATCATTCTTGCATTACTGACTCCAAATAACAGTCAACCTTGAGGATGAGTGTTAAGAATAGAATTCAATTTTCATGTTTGGGTGATATGTTAGATTTGATTTCATGATCATTATTCTTCTCATAACTGATCTTAGTTATGATTACAACTTGATCAAGGCGTGGACTCTAAAAAGCTACTCCTCTGGTTCGAGGATAAATTATGAGAGAAGCAATATTTTCAGGTGGTAGATTAAAGAGTGAGTGATAAAACACAATACAGAGATTTCCCTCTCTTGTAATGAGGGCATACTCCTAGTTTAAATACCTCCCATAGATGCAAGCCTCTGATGCACGTAAAAATTTGGGAAGGGACCCAAATTTTTGCAAGCAAAAAGAAAGAACTTTTTTAGATAATAGAAAAGACACAAAAGAACACAAAATAGACAAATAAACTAAAACAACAACTTCAACACTTACAAACGACGCAATAAAGACAAACACAACAAGACACCTAAAGAAGCTTTGCCTTGAGAAGAAGGATACAGGTGGGGTGGATACTTGCGGTGAGAAGAAAGAGGTTAGAAGCCAAGACGAAGGGTGGAGAAGCTCGCAAGCCTTCCTAGAAGAAGAGAAGAAGAAGTGATGGAACAAGCTCGCAAGCTTTTCCAACAAAACCCGCAGGTTTACATCTCCAAAAATAACTCACATAACCATTCTTAAAACATTCCAAAACAACTCCTATTTATAAGATCAAAGAGGGCAGTCAAACAGCCCTTTAAAACCACTAATTAATCTCATTAAAATAGGAATATAGAAGGCAATAAGTCGCCAAATAGAAGACCAAAAGACAGCAGGAATTCTGCAGGAAAATTGCATAGAAAACAGTGGAAAGACACAAGGAAATCCCCCCAAACAGCCACCAAACAGCAGCCCTCAAAAAGCCATCAATGAGGGCCAGCTGGCTGTCCAAAATCAGAAGCCAAACAGCCCAAAACAGCAGCTGAAAAGGCAGAAAAACTGCTGCTGATTTTCTGCAAAGGAAAACTCCCATGGAATTCCCCCCCCCCCCCAAACAGCCACAAAAATCAGCCAGCAAGGGGCCCGAAAACAGCACCGGAAACAAGGGGATTAAGGCACGGAAAAACAGTCCGCCAGCCGTGGGAACCAAAGGGCCAAGCACGGGAAAACCAACAGCCATCCACGGGAACCAAAGGGCCAAGCACGGGAAAACAGCCAACACAAGAAAACGAATAGACAAAGAGGAGCAGAAGAGACACAAGTGGAGAAACCAAAGAGACAAAGGAAAGGGGGGAATGAATCTAATAAATCTTCAATTTATGAGCTTAAGACACTCTACTAGATATTAATGAGCGGACATCTAGTAGAGAAAAACATTTATGAGCTGAAACATAAGTAGGGGCTCATTAATGAGCTGGCTCAAGTAGAACAAAAATTTCAACTCTACTTGTTTTGACCCCCCCCCTGTCTACATCAGACTCCCCTACTTGAAAAACTCATCTCCCGATGAGTTGGCTTTAGATTTGATCCGAAGGAAGCACATCAAGTTCTTGAACTATATCTTCGTATTTCTTCAAAATCTTCTGACTGATTTTGATTTTCCATTTTCTCTAAACAAAGACTCACATGATAACTACTATGACTTACCAAGACTCACAAGAACTCACAAATAAAACAACTTATGACATCAAGACGCACACGACAAACTGACTCATAAACCTAGCACTTCCTAACTTGCTCTGATACCAAATTGATGCAATCAAAAATTTGGGAAGGGACCCAAATTTTTTATCACAAAAAGAAATGACTTCCTAGATAAAATAAAGACACAAAATGCTCAAAAGGATACAAATAAACCACAAATAACTTCACTTTAATATATAAAAGACTATTACAACTTGGACACTTACAAATGACTCAAACAAGACACCTAAAGAAGCTTTCATCCATTAGAAGAAGGATACAGGTGAGGTGGCACTTGCAGCGAGACGAAAGAGGTTAGAAGCCAAGACGAAGGGTGGAGAAGCTCGCAAGCCTTCCTAGAAGAAGAGAAGAAAAAGTGATGGAACAAGCTCACAAGCTTTTCCAACAAAACCCGCAGGTTTACGATCTCCAAAAAAAACTCACATAACCATTCTTAAAACATTCCAAAACAACTGTTTATAAGATCAAAGAGGGCAGCCAAACAGCCCTTTAAAACCACTAATTAATCTAATTAAAATAGGAATATAGAAGGCCATAAGTCACCAAATAAAAGACGAAAAGACAGCAGGAATTCTGCAGGAAAATTGCATAGAAAACAGTGGAAAGACTCATAGAAATCCCCCCAAACAGCCACCAAACAGCAGCCCTCAAAAAGCCATCAGTGAGG